CGGCGCGCGGGGCCCTGGAGAGCGCCCCCCGCCGCCGCGCCCCGCGCCATGTCGGGGCCGCCGCTGCAGGCTCCCAAGCGGCCGGAAGAGGCGCCCGGCAGCGCCGCGCAGTGGTGAGTACCCGTGGGCCGGGCCGGATCGGGCTGGGCAGCTTATCTCGGGGCCGACGCCTCATTTAAGGGGCAGCTGCCCCTGGCGGCCGGAGCGCCCACTGCAGGCCTCGCCTCGCTCCGCCCCCTGGACACGTGGGAGGGCGGCTCCATTGTGACGTCTGGAATCCTCGCATGCGTGACGTCATTTGCAAAGGATGGAAGCTGAGGGCGTGGCACAGGCGCTTTCCTGCACAAGCTGAGGGAAGGGGGATGACGCCCTCCACCTGGGCCCAATAGGCCCGACTGCAGGGGGAGTTGCCACAGGGGGCTGATTTGGCCTTTTTTGCATCCATTTTTTTGTTTTGGTTTTTTTTGCATTGCCGGTTCCACAACCCAGGGACTTGGACCACTGACACCTGGAGAGCAGCGTGTGTCCAGGAAAGGCTGGGCTGCTGGCGTCTTGCTGTGCATGGTTTTTTCCATGTGAGACTAAATCATGTGCTTTCCCCCCCTGTGAAAATCCCATTTTTTTGGTTTTTCAATCACCAGCTTGCTTTAGTGGTCACTAAGCACCAAAGTTTGTTTTTCCAAAAGAAAACTCTTGTATTACGATCTCCTAGACCTAAGCTGATCACCCAGAGAGCTATTGATGTGGCAGAGCAAACTAAATACAGGTCTTCTGATGAAATGTGTCATTCCAGAAGCTGGACCAGTGGCCACCACGTAGAGCTAAAAACTTCCCTTAGTAAGGAAGAGGGGGGCACCACGGTTACATCAGTGATTGCTTGGGGCAAATAAAATACAGAATGGGGATGGGAGTGAAAGAGGTTTAAAACAAAGGTTTGCACCAAGGGGAGACACTGAGCAGGGCACATTGGACAGTGCTCGCTGGCTAAATATAGGCAACAATCTTCCTAAAAGCGTGAGTCAGCCTCTATAACAACAGAGGGGGACAGATGACTGTTCCTGTATGGGAATAGACCCATGTTTCTTCTGTGTACCAAAAAGATGGAGTTAGGTGTCAGCTAATACTATACCTACAAAAAAGGCTGTTCCCAAAGGAAGAAGTGATTGGCTACTGGTGAGGAGGGAGAGGCATTCATTTTGCCTCTTATTCCCTTGGGTTCACATGGAATAGGGCTCTGATACTTTATAGGTATCTCTCAACAGGAAGCATCTTCCTCTGCAGAGGAGGCCCTCTGCAGCGCTCTGCCCAGAGTCAGAGTAAGGAAGGGACTGCAAGTGTTACAGGGTGGATCATTTTCTCTCTGGGTCAAAGGCAACTTCTTTTCAGAACATAAGAAGGAAGAAGACTTTCTGGACGTCTGATTAAATCACTGCTTTTGATGAGAGAGGGCAGCAACTCATTCTCACTTGAGCCTTTTTCTAATCAGTCGCTCTCTTAGAAAGGGTTCAGAACCCCTTAAGGGAGCAAATTGCATCTACTGAAATGCAAGCATTTGGTCATTGACATGGGCCCTTGTTGTCAACAACTGAGTCAGGGACCCTGAGCTGGTCTTGTCTCCTGGATAGAACATTTATTAAAAGAGGACCTCTACAACATTATGATGACCTATGTGCAAGTTCTCATTCATAAATTTCCTGCCATAATAGTTACTGAAAAATCAGGGATACACTGACCTCTCCACCAAGTGGGATTTACTTGTTTACCTTCAGTTGAAGTAGTGGCATTTTCTACCATCTTTCTTCCTTTTTCCCCAAGAAGCAATTGAGGAAACTTCAAATAATTTAAAATTATATCAACGCGAAGGAGATTAGTACACAAGAGCCTCTTCTTTGATCAACTGTTCCACTGAAAATGATGAGGAATGTTATTCCTCAGAATCAGATCTTGCTGATGTCAAATCAGGGCAGTTAGTTTCCCATGACACTCTTATCAATGGGAAAAATCTGTTGGACAGATTAGTTTAGAAAATGGTAGTCTGGGGATGAGTGTTTAAGCTTTAAATATTCCAAGAGAACATTATTTTCTAATTCTCAACCTCTGAAAATCCAAAAAAGCAATGGTTTATTTGCAGGGGTCTTTCTATATTGAAATCTTGTGTCTGTAGAAAAGGCATTAGTCAGAATAATGCCCGGATTATATCTGGGTTTAATCATGTCAGTGAAATCCAAGCTTCCTCAATGTCTACACTGCAGTCACTACCGTGACTATAGTTTGTGGAGATGCACTTGACCTGGCTATCTGGGGTACCGTTCATTAGGGCTGTGCGAGGCTTCAGACAGAGTTTCGGATCCAGAGAAGCTTTGGACGCTTCGGGGTCCAAAGCAGCACATCCAGGTCAAAGCGTTGGCCTCGTTAGGCTTCCCGAAGTGGTTTGGAGCCGCCTCGGAGATCTGGGCATAGGGCATAATGGGGAAACAATAAAATATCTATAACTTTGTTTTTTATCCAATTCGGATGAAATTGTCAGGGGTGCAGGGGTTTGGGAGGAACTGCCTTGCAAGCTGCGGACAAGCAAAATTTGTGCCATGGGTGCTTGTGGGACTGAATATCTCTGTCTTGGGGCAGGAGGGGAGACACGGCTGCAGGCCTGGCTGCTAAACTGCCGTGTTCCCAGTTACCAGTCAGTCACTCATGATTCACTCCCGGACCAGGGACTCAGGGACCAGCTCAATGCACAGGACCTAGCTACTACATAACAACCTAATGAGCATCAATTAGCACCTACAAAACCAGGCTAAGGAGAGGAAAGAATCAATACAGACAATCAACTGCCCAAAAACAGACAGTCTTGGCAGGAGTTTTGCCTGTCAGCAGCTAGGGGTGCAGGGCCCCAGAGCCCTCCTGCACCAATCTCCTCCCCAGCTGGCAGGCGTGTCAGCAGGAGCCACAACTCCTGCAGTTGTCACCCCGCTGCACCTTAACACACACAGTGTCACCCATGGCACAAATTTTGCTTGTCCGCAGCTTGAGCGGCAGTTCCCCCCAAACCCCTGCACCACTCTCCTTGAAACTTGGCAGGCTTTGTGGCCTCAATAAGAGCTACAAGCCCTGCAGTTTTGGTCCCCCTGTGTTGTTACACATAGATGCGACATGAGTTTGGCTTGCAAGCATTTGGGGTACGGTTTCTCCCAAACCCCTGCACCAATCTTCTTGAAACGTGGCCGGTTTCATGCTCTCAACAGAGGCTACCATCCCTGCAAGTTTCATCCAAATTGGACAAAAAACAACAAAGTTATAGATATTTAATTGATTTCCCCATTATACGCTATGGCTGGATCTCTGAGGCAGCTCCAAAGCTTTGGAGCCGCTTTGGCCAGATTGAGGTGGAAACCCGGTCCAGAACTCCGGATCAGATCGTGGCCATCCAAAGCGGCCAGATCCGAAGCTGGATCGGATCGCTGCCAACTCACACAGGCCTACTGTTCATGGCATAGCTGCTGTAGCACACAGCACAACGTGAACTAACTGCCCAAACCTTTTAGAGAAAAGGCTTGTGTTATATGCAAGAGAATACGGAATTTATTTATTTGAAAAAAAAGTCTCTGTTTATTTGATTTTTAATGTAGAATGTTTTGTAAAGGATAAAAGGATAAAAGGATAACTTATCATTAGTAGCTGTGGTTTACAACTGTCTTTCTTGTTTTAGCAATCAGCAACTCCTTGCTACAAGCCACTATGCTACAAGATATAAATATGTTGATTGGATTACTATCCTCAGTCCTAAAGAACAAAAAGATGTACCCTCAAGAGTTATAATAATATGGGAAAATACAAATGTATATAACATGGCAGCAAGAGATTAGGATGGCTTATTAAAGAACCAGAAGAAGTTTCTACATTAAAAAAAAATTTTATTCAAAATAAAAAGAGGAAGGAGGAGCAGGGGAAGAGGTATATGCCAAACCTTAGAAATCCTCAACTACCTCACTCCTTGTGAGGATTTCTCTGTTAGTGGTACCAGTGAAGAACATGAACCATTATGGTCAAAAAGTGGTAGTTGGAGCCAGACTTCTTATCTGTTCCCACATTCTGTTAGTGTCAGATATGTTAAATTCTGCTCAACTTGAAAAATAAACTTAGTTATAATTCCTTATTAAAATAATTAAACTTCAATAAAATAGTCAATCGCCCTTGCTGAGTAGACTGACATGGCAGTATGCAAAATTCTGAATCATATACTGTAAATAATTGACAAAATGTAGAAAAAAATGCGTTCAACTCTCCATTTTATTTCCACTTCATTACACAAAGAAGACTTGAAACCGTGTTATATTTTTCTTCTTCACTTTGGACTAACTGAAATGTTGGGTATGGTCATTCCCTAGTTTTGGTGGAAGATTCATCAGTGATCTAAAGCAGGGCTGTCCAGCCGGCAGTCCATGGGCTGCATGGGGAGTTAACTCCTGGCCCCCAGAACCTCAGACTAATCACTAGTCACCACCTCTCTCCCCCTGACTTGTTCTGCTTCTACCACTGGGGTCTGCAGGCTCCCCCTTCCTCCCCTGCCTTCCATTTCCTGCCTCTGCCCTTAGGGATGAGGTGACACAGGATGGCCTCCAGGCCCAAAGAAGCCGCCAGCCCAGGGAGTTTCTGGCCCCAGTGTGACAGCGGTGAGGCCCGCATGGTGCAACAGAGGGGTGCTCACAGTCCACCTCAGTGTGTGGCCTTAGTGGGGAGCAGCAGAAGAAGTATGTGGTTTCTGTGTGGTCAGAAGGTGAAAATCCTTGCCCTAAATCATGGATGATGAACTCTCCAAGTCCCTAATTGAAGATGATGTTCCAAACCTCCAACTAAAACCTGTTTTTCTCCTGTTTCACAGGTGTGTGAGTTACATGTAAACAAGAGTTCCCAAACCATCTTACTGAAAACTGTTTTCCTTATGAATGCTTCAGCTTTCATTCTCTTTCATTCTTTCTCTTCGTTCTCCTTGAATCCCTTTAGTACCTATTACAGCAGTAGGGACCAAACTTTGACAGGTGTGCCACAAATTAGCCCTGTACCTCCCCAAGTGTTACTCTGATCCCCTTGACATGCTGAACCTACTGCTCTGCTT